ATATATATATATATATATATATATATATATATATATATATATATATATATATCTTCTTAAAATATATATAAATTACGTGTCTCGTTATTTGTCCGCAATGGACTCCTAAACTACTGAACCGATTTTAATAAAATTTTGCACACTGTGTGCAGTTTCATCCAGTTTAAAAGATAGAATAGTTTATATCTCAATTTATAATCGCAATATTATTTTATATGGCGGTATAAGGTAATTCATTGACTTAAAGACGTGTGTATCGGACTGATTGTGAGCCACAGCAACGCGTGGCGGGACACCCCTAGTATATATATTAGGGTGGGTCAAAAAAATGACTTACTCTTTTTTTTATCAAGTGCCACGGAAAAATGGGTTGCTAGACACCTAAAAACAATTCTCACCAAATATGAGCTCTTAATTTTAATAGGAAAATCCTCCGCATCGCAGTTTATTATTTTTTTTTTCAATCCAATAGATTAAAATTTATACCTATATATATATACATTTAATTATTTTATTTTTAAAGAAATACTATGGCCGATTAGAATTGGCAAAATCAAAAGAAGAATCAGTGAGAGACATTCTTCAAGGTAGACGATTATTGTACGTAGTTCATTTTCCAATAACAGAACCATTACCAGTATTAAGAAAATTATTGTTCAATGGACAATTATATTGCAGTGGTCCACGTGGTAATAAAAAAATTTATATTATCAACAAATAAATACAATATTTAAAATTTGTAAATAATAAATAATATTTATTATAATAATTTATTCATTTTTAGTAACAGGACCAATTGTATCTTCAATCTTTTTGAAATACACATTCTTTCCATCAAGACCATTAATTATTTCAGCTGATTCTGATAATGATAATAATAATTTTGATGAACGACCAAATTTCAATAATTTTATACCATCGTTCAATCAAAATGAACGATCAGACTTTATAACAAAACCACCATTACAAACATCAAGACCATTACAAACGTCAAGACAATTATTACCATTAACAACACCAACACCACCACCATCATTATCATCACGTTTAATATATAACAATTATGAAGATTGTGGAAGAGAAAATATACTAAATAAAAATAGTAATCCTTTGATAGCTACAGGTGTTGAAACTAAACCAAACGAATGGCCTTGGTTGGTTGCAATATTTATTTTTCAATTAAAGGCTGAATTTCAATGTACAGGTACATTGGTCACCAATAAACACATTATTACAGGTACGATTTAATAAATTATTTCAAAATAATCATTGTAAATATTTTTACAATGATCAAATCCCATTTTGTGTTTTAATTCATTCAAATTAGATTTTTACAATATTTGATTTTGTCTTATTGACAACAGTGGCACATTGTACAAGGTTGAATGACTCGTTTGTACCAGCCAATACCATGCTTGCTTCATTAGGTCGTTATCATTTATGGGATCAGAGAGAAAAAGGTTCGATCTATCGTGAAATTAAAGAATACAAAATACATCCTGATTATAAAAATAAACAATATGATCACACTGCTGACGCTGATATTGCTGTTATGATATTACGAGAAACAGTTGAATTTTCAATATCAATTAAACCAATTTGTTTGTGGACTGGATCAAACGATTTACGAGATATCGTTGGATCTGAGGGACACGTTATAGGTTGGGGTAAAAATGAATTTGGTCAATTTTTGAATGAACCAAGAAAAGCTGTTGTACCAATCGTTTCTCAGGTAAGAAAATCTAATTTAATTTTAGAAAAATATGACAATATTACGATAATAATTAATTATATATATAGTTGGATAAAATTACTGATTAATATTTTAATATTATTTATTATTTAGGAAGATTGTTTATGGAGTAATCCAATTTTTGTCAATATTACATCAAATCGTACCTTATGTGCTGGTTTTAGAAATGGTAGTGGACCATGTAATGGTGACAGTGGAAGTGGTTTGCTAATACGTAGGAAAGATGGACGCTATTATTTACGTGGTGCTGTCTCACATTCAATTTTAGATGGTGCAACCAAGTCATGTGATCTTAACAATTATATTGTTTACGTTGACCTAACGAAATACATAGATTGGATACGTTTACAGATTTCTTCTTAAAATGGTCATTGCGTTTATTATTTATAAAATATTAACCAATATTTTTTCTTCAATTTTATATTAATTTATTTATTTATATATTTATTTAATCCTGTTTTTTTTCTTTTTTAGAACATTTATTGAATCATTAGATTATATCAATCGACAAATAATGTAATTAATTTATTTCTTAACAAATAGATCATTTTTAATAAAATTCATGTGTCAGAAGGATCAAAAAAAGTGAATAATAATTTAAACATGTAAATGAATTTAAATTGAATCTAGCACAGCCATTCGCCCGATAGTATTAGGACCTTGAATAAGTTCTCGCAGTTTCATCAAAGATGGCAATAGCAGTACTCCGTGCTTGAAATTTCAAATGGTAACGCACTTGCAAGGAAGTACTGTATCTAACCTGAAATTTCAGTGTATGATAGTTCATTTTAGTGTAAACAAAGTAATTTTTTATTAGTTTTGAAAATGTCTACATTTGTGCCAACTAAAGTGTATTTTCGGGGAATTTTATTGACGTACTTTATTCAAAAGAAATCGACAGCTGATGCACATAGAATTCTTGTTGAGACTTATGGTGACAATGCTCTGTTGGATATGACATGCAGAGACTGGTTTCGACGCTTCAAAAATAATTATTTTGAACTTGAGGATAAAGAACGTTCTGGCGTACCAAAAAAATTTCAAGACAGAGAATTGGAGGAATTACTCGATGAAGACCGATCTCAGACGCTAGCAGAACTTGGAAAAACATTACAAGTTTGATGAGTCAACTGTTTCAAAACGTATGACATGGAGTGCCATATATGAGAAGAGACACGACAAAGTGATTTTGTTATATGACAACGCCCGGCCTCATGTTGCAAAACCAGTGAAAATCTACCTGGATACGCTTTGATGGAAAGTTCTAACCCACCCGCCGTATTCACCTGACATAGCCCCTTCCGATTTTCACCTATTCCGTTCGATGGCACATGGCTTAGCTGACCAGCGTTTTCATTCTTACGAAGAAGCTAAAAAATGGGTCGATTCTTGGATGGCCTCAAAAGACATGTCGTTTTTCCAACGCGGAATTCATATACTGCCAGAAAGTTGGGAGAAAGTGGTCTCTAGTAATGGGCAATACTTTCAATAAAACATTTTTGTTCTTTATATTTTAAAGAAAGTTTTTATTTTGTAAAAAAACAGCGAGAACTTATTCAAGGTCCTAATACTTGCGTTACATAATTTACAATTAGATTTGAAATAGATCACAAGCAATATCGACCCAGGTCTCATTGCGAGAAGGTTGCTGTGTTCGGAGCTACCCACGGGCTAAGACTCTACTTCTTTAATTATCTTTCTAACTAATACATTTCATTAGTCATTTGTTCGAAAGAAATTTCTAAAATACAACCGGAAAAACGTGTCATCAAATTTTTTATCCAACTTATTATTTAAGTTAGATGAAAAATCATGTACATCGTTATAAATCGACCTACCTACCCGATTTACAATTCTAAATTAACGTAAACATGTAAAAGCTGTGACGTAGATTCAGTTAGAACTTTAAATAATATAAAACGCAAGTTTCTATTAATATAAATTATTAATAAAAAAAAAACATTATAAACTAATTAGTTTCTATAAATTTGTTACATGAAAAGGAATTAAGGAAAGGAATACAAAAAATTGGATAATGGGAAAAATTTCATAGAAACTAATTACAATTATAATGTTTATGGTAAGCGGTCTTTTGCTGAATTTTACTTGCAATGGAATGTATAGCATATAAAAATATGTTAATCATTACATAGAAAGTAAAATACCATTGCCCGGGTCTAACCACGAGGAGGTAACCGCTTCTGAAGACCCACAAGGGATGTGCATCCTGAAGATGACCACATCCGATATAATTGAAAGAAAAGAACCTAACTCTTAGGCCCCACCATAAGAGTACCACCATAAAAAATCTTTAGAATTATTTTTATTATTTTTTAAATATCAAAAAAGACAAAATGATAAACAAGGAGTGTAACCTAAAAAGAAATTTAATAAAATCATGGATGTTACCTAAAAGTAACATACTCTAGAATAATTTCAATATATGCACATAAGAAAATTACTAGTTACGAATATTTTATATTGAATAATTTTTAATCTATAAAGAATATATTATAATAAAAATAAATATATATAATATTAGATGGTACCTGTAGAAAAAAAGAAGATATTAGATAATACCTGTAGAAAATAAAAGAAGATACATTAAAAATAGCTATCATACATATACGATGATACTAAAAAGAATAAAAGAAAAAGAATTAAAATACTTTAATTATTTTTGCAAGTAATTATTTTATATTATCCTTTACTATAATTATAGTCCTCTTATTATCTGCTTCATATTATTCTTGGATGTAATATTGCATCGTCTTTATAATTCATCTTGCGAATAAGAAAAGTAATTAGTAAATTAAAATACAACCCGTTTACCATAACTCAGTCCTCTTTTGGTCCATATTCCTCTTCTCTTGAATACTCCATTATTATAAGAAACCTAGAACAAGAAGAAACCTAAAACAAAAAGAAAAATAAAGAAGTACGGAAGGAGTGATGGTTAGTGGGGTGAAATTAAAGGTAAGGACATAATTTTCTCCCAATTATTGGAAATAGGAGAAAATCATGGCTCGCGTAGGGCAGGGTCGCATCCCTGAAGTAGACCTTTTTTTGTGAAGAAACCAAAGAAAGATCTACCCGCTACCAACTGAAAAAAGAAACTCAAAACGAGCCTGAAAAAGAAAAAGAAAATATTATTTTGGAGGTCTGAAAAGATGCAATGAATAGCATCGAAGGGCAAGTTCCCGATGAAAAACCCGATGCACTTACAAGTGCATTAAAATTAATCATATTCTGAAACAAAATAAAATGAAAATTAAGTTTCTAATACCTAGAAAAAAAGATATATTAAAAAATACTATAAAATAATTAGTTTCTATGAATAAAATGAAGAATGAAGAAATGTGTGGGGTAATTGGAAATGAAAAAATGATATGATATCAAAGTGAGGGGGAATTCTAAATGGGATTGTACTCTATGAAATCAAATTTATCAAATACTCGATTTATTTTTGGCAATAAAAATCTCTGATGGGGGGGGGTGGTAATTCCAACGATGTTCCCCTATAACAGAAAGAAAACTATATTAATTACTTCCATTCTTAAAAAACCACTATAAATTATTGACGAGCAAAATAATAAAACAATCAAAATATCAAATGATCAACGAGCTATTCGCAAAAATTCAACCATGCTGTTGAATTTGCAAATAACTCATTGAGTCCATAGTTGCCCTCTTGAGCCACAATTAAGTGGGGGCCTCTTCGGCAATTAGCCTCTTCTTTCTTGATGCCTACTGTCGGACATTTCCTACGTGCGAGCATGAAAAGAATCATTGACCAAA